GCCAAAACCCCAGTTCGACCAAACGTTTGAAAAGCTGACATAAATGCGATCGTCTCAGCAATCAACTGTTACATCAACCCAGAGTCCAAGTAGAGGCCGCATGGAACCAATTTAAACAACTTTACGCCCAAGTATCTGAACATTTTATCTCTTGGTCTGTCCCAAAGGCTCGGAAACACTGCTACCTTTGGATAAAGCAAGTGATTCGTAAGTTACTCAGAGGTAAACACAAATGTTGGAATCTGTTTGTCACACTTGAGACTCCTGAGACCAAGAAATTATATAACACTGCTAGGAATAAAGCTATCGCAGAAAGCCGTATTGAAGTTTTGAATGAAGAAAAAGAGTGCGATTCGTCTATCGCACCTAGGTGTACAGAAAGACAGTGTGAAACTGCATCTGTACATCAGAGTTCACCTCTTGTATCAGTGAATCAAGAGGTGAACTCTGATGTACAGATGCAGTTTCACACTGTCTTTCTGTACACCTAGGTGCGATAGACGAATCGCACTCTTTTTCTTCATTCAAAACTTCAATACGGCTTTCTGCGATAGCTTTATTCCTAGCAGTGTTATATAATTTCTTGGTCTCAGGAGTCTCAAGTGTGACAAACAGATTCCAACATTTGTGTTTACCTCTGAGTAACTTACGAATCACTTGCTTTATCCAAAGGTAGCAGTGTTTCCGAGCCTTTGGGACAGACCAAGAGATAAAATGTTCAGATACTTGGGCGTAAAGTTGTTTAAATTGGTTCCATGCGGCCTCTACTTGGACTCTGGGTTGATGTAACAGTTGATTGCTGAGACGATCGCATTTATGTCAGCTTTCCAAACGTTTGGTCGAACTGGGGTTTTGGCCCTTGCTGCTGTTGCTGTGAACTTAAAAGCGAGCACAGCATGATCACTTCTTCCTAAAGGCGGAAGGTGTTGTATGAGATCCACATCTTCACCGTGGGAGAACACTAGGTCCAGAGTTGAAGAGGAGTGCTGTGAGTCATAGCGCGTGGACTTAATGACATGTTGGACTAGGGCTAGCGATATACTAGATTCCAGCAGTTTATGATCGAAGGAGTTGACTGAAGATGGCGTTGTAAGGCTCGTCCAGTCAACTGTTGGGGCGTTGAAGTCGCCAGCTACGAGACTTCGACATTTCGAAGTCCAGGAGCCTAGCTTCTCTATTAGGAAGTCATCTGCACTGCAGTTAGGACTGCGGTACATAGCAATGAGGTCAATGTCTTGGCCTATGCATTCAAGTCTGCAGCGTAGAAGTTCGCACGACTCACTTTCGTGAGCGAGTGCTTCGATGCTACGCACAGTTAGGCATTTCTTGAGGTAGATGACTACGCCACCTCCTTTGTGGTTTAGTCGGTCCACCCTATGTACTTCGAAGTTTGGCAGGTTAACTTCGTTGTCAGTGACATCGGGTGTGAGCCATGTCTTTGTGATGATAATTACATCCGGATTCCGGAGTCTATCATGTCAACCAGTTCAGTCGGTTTGTTCAACAGGCTGGGGGCGTTTGTGTAGCAAACTGTCAATCCAATTTGGTGCTTCCCCGGCCTACCCACAGAGGTTTCGGGATCATTAAACTGCGAACTCGGACAACCCGAAAACCCTTAATCTTAAGGTTCTTTTCGCCGTTTCGACGTCGTTCGCTTAATTCTAGGGCCGCAGACTGTCTTTTGACACGGTCTGCTAGGCTTAAGTCGGCGCGGACATATATGCCTGATCCTTTAAGAATATGAGAGTTGCTTACAATAGCATCCCCCTCTTCTTTCGAGTTTAGTACGACTTTGAGGAGACCTACAGGCTGATTTACTGTAGGGTCAGGCTTTTGGCCGATTCTATATACGCTGTGTATAGTAATGCCTGATACTGTTTGTGGCAGTAGCTTGTCTAAAAGGGGCTTAACCAAGTTAAGGTCATGCTCGAATCTAGCCTTGGGATCGGGGGCCAGTGACTCTTCCACTTTGTGGAGAATGAGCGACCTGTCAGAGAGATCAGGTTTGCTTGCCGTGGCTTTCTTGCTCTGCGGCGTAAGCGTGTTTCTGTCCTTCGTGGGCGGTGTAGCCAATGTGTTATCCTTATCTCGCTTTTTGCGAGAGACTACATTACGCCATTCATTGGCGTCCTCCTTGCTAATCGTAGTAGGATTTATCTGCCTGCTACTCACCGGTGTGGATGAGGTTTGATCCACGAGTCCCTGGGCGACTTGAGCTGCAGGTTTTCGACCCGTGGTACACCTCTTCTTTGCGGCAGTCTTTCTATTACTGTCACTGGAGGGCTTATCCAGTATCGTGGAGGCAGCCTGGGTGTCTGGAATGTGGTGGGTGCTCTTCTGTGCTGAAGGGCACTCACTTATTGATAGAGACGCAATGGGGACATGTGCTGTTTTGTCGATGACGCTAGTCACGTCATCGGTGTCTGAGCAGTAATCGGTCTTCTCCTGTGGTTTGTGGAAGAGCCTTGCAGTTCATGAACTATAGAGTCCCACTGAGAGTGGCAATGGCTTCTGTTATACGAAATTTAATCGTACTACAGCAGTCATTGCACAGCCAGTTTGCCAGAGGTTTGCAGCAGCGTTTGTATGCTGCAGGAGTTAGGTTTGTGCACATGCTATGAAACCATCTCTTGCAGTTATCACACTGCATTCCCTCATCCACTGGAAATCGGCACATAACCCTTCCGCAGCGGTTTCTTTTGATTGGCATGCTTTTTAGAGCGAATCGGGGGAAAAAAACAACCTGAGTATGACTTTATATATGCGTGACTTTGATAAATCAGCGATAAAGAGCCAATGGCTGTACAAAAATAGATGTATAATTATTAGGTCATAAGAACACAACTTCCCATCGTTTAATAGACTCAAAACTAAAACGTAAACGAACTTCGATTAGAAGGAACTGATTCAAAATAATCTGTAGACTTTTAGAGCGTATAGCACAACCAAAGCGAAAGCTAAACAAGAGCGTGTAAAATTCACTCCGTTTTTCAAAGTTCGCGTTGTAGCGAACTCGCATTGCATTGTCGATGGTTTGTGAGCTTCAAGTTTCATTTGAATTCCAAAGTGAGGTTCAGGCACCATTGATAAACTTTATGAAATCGCACTAATCTTACCTGGAAACATGCTCGTAGGATAACACCTAGTTCCCTGTCCTCTTCTGAATTTATGTGATTTGTGTTCTTGCTATATCGTATGCTGTGGCAGTTCTGTGCCAGATGCTCATGGTTTCATGCTTCGGTTTATTGATTGGGAGGGGAGTCCATTACTTCGAATAATCAAAGATTGTCGATCTCTCCTTGTTGCATAAGCATATCACTTCATTCTTCAGATTTTCAGGTCATCTCTGTAGAGAACCATAGGAAATCCTAAATAATTCGTTTTATTGTAGTATAAATAAAAGATGATCAGGTGCAATACCTTGTGGTATCAAGTATCTTTTTTATCATGAAGTGTTTCGAGTTGATCTTGAATTTGTGTCTTTTGCCTACAATGAAATTCTTTGAGCCATTTAAGCGGATTGAGAACGTTCCAATTTCCTACTGTTAGTTCACTTTGATGGTGCCTCCACACTCCACCCACAACGATTCAGGAATTTTCACCAAATGAAAACCCTTAAATGGTAAGGCTTTTCCAGCCCTCAGAAATCCATTTACTTGAGTGCAGATCAGTAGACTTTCGTGATAAGGCCTGTGAAGTATATGTTTACACGCACTTAAATCTCCTATCTCTTGAGAGTGTGGGAGGCTATTGAGTGATGTTAAGTACCAGGCCTTCGAGTAGAACCTCAATGGGAGGCAACGAGTTGGGCGTGGGTCCGTGGGTAGGCATCTATGAAGCTAAGAATAGGTTGAAATAAAGAGGTTTTATTGAAGCCCTATTTTCCCCTTGGATACTAAGTGAATAATAATAATAGTAATGAAGAAAATAAAAGACAGATTCAGCGAAGAAAATCTTTTTTTATCGACGAAATCATCTTCAGAGGCTGTACAGTCGTATTTATACTTACAAAAATATATAGTGGTCTATTATTGAGTAATAGGGGGTGACATAATTGATATAATCACTCAGAAGTGGCTTTAGAAGTAAAAATAAAAGTTGTAAATTACGTGGTACTCAACGACACAAAGATAGAAATTTGATAAGGTTAAAATTGCCATTGAGTGAGAAGGAACGTGGTAGTTAAGTGCCAATTTAACAAGTGTGAAGAGGGTGTGAAAATATACAAAAGGAGCATATGAGAGTGATAATAGTGAATTAATTATCAAAGCAAAAGCAAACTAATAGTAAGATTAAAAATTACAAAAAAGAAAAGAAAATCAAAATTTTTTAACAGCGAACGATTAGTGAGAAGGTTAAGACCAAGGTAGAATAAGAGACTGGACAAACTTTTTCTGTATACAGAGTTCAAGGTTGTATTGATGAATTGCCAGTGCCTCCGCCATACACAAAAGCCGAAACCTGACGTCCTTTGTACAATCTGTCCTCACCTTGAAAATGATATTGAAAGACGACTCTGGTGGAGCTTTGTGGCCTGAGTTCACCAAATGATCGAGAATTGAGCTAGTAATTGTCTTACACTGTCCCTTTGCTAACCATGTCGGATAATGTTCAGAGATGCGTTTGGAAAGCGTGCGCTTTGTGCGGCCAATATAACTAGCTCCACACGAGAGGGTGAAGTTATAAACACACACTGAGGTGGCCCAAAACGGCAGTTTATCCTTCACACACACTCAATAATAGACCACTATATATTTTTATAAGTATTAATACGACTGTACAGCCTCTGAAGATGATTTCATCGGTAAAGAAAATGATAGTAATAATAATAATGACGAAAAGGCTGCTTGGTGTTACCATCGGTCTAATGACCCTTGCACAACTTTTTCAGCTTAAGCAGTGTTCTAACATATTTCCCACATTTCTTTCTTTCTTCCTCACTAGTATGCTGTTATAAATCATCATAATCAACTTCTGCCCTGTCAAAGTCTATTTCAATTATGTGGTATGTTTCAGTATAAAAAAAACATCGAATTATTCATCACACTCTCCACAGTTCAATACATTCATTCACGTCTAGTGAAATTAAGGCAGCGCGAGAAGCTTTACTCTTATGGTATTATAAATGTAAACGTGATCTACCATGGCGTCAAATGGTAAAGCATATTTTTTTGTTTTGTGTGTGTTAACCTTAAAGTATGATCCTAATAGGCATTAGATCCGGATCCAAATATTCGTGGTTATGCAGGTATGTTAGTTCTTCTTCTCCTTTTTGTTATTATTATTATTAGTAGTAGTAGTAGTGAGCAAAGAATATCCTCTTCTGGCTCTATAATTATATTAAAACAATTAGTCCCTTTGATAAATTCAGTTTTATTAGCTAATGGTTATCCGGAAAAATTAATCACTTGTTGCAGTAAAGATAGACCACATCTCGAAAAGACAACTTCTGTACCAAACAAAGCTAACTATCTTTACTAACCTACCATTCAAGGGTGATCAGATAATGCAGTTGACAGCTAGTTCAAAGACTTCGGTCAACCATCAAACACATTCTACACTGCATCTCTTTCCCTCACATGCCGAAGATTTTCGATTCCTCTGCCTACGATTAAAGGACGAAATTCTGTGGACTCTACTTCAAACTGTATCTACAAGTTCACCTGCAGCTGCGGTGACACCTATATAGGTAGAACTAATAGAATGTTCCGATGTCGTGTGGTTGAAAAGAACATGTTCCAAAATGGCTACTAAATCATATAGAAAATCCCAATGCCAGTAATTTGAATAGAAATCCAGCGTCATCCATTGCAAAACACTTATTAATGTCAAGTCACAAAATAAGTATTAATGACTGTTTCACAATTATTTCACATAACTCTAATTCAATGTTGGTTATTGAAGGTGATGAAAGCACTTTGTGGATTAATCACATACAGCCTAAACTGTGTGTACAAAAATCAATAGACTTCAATCTTCGCCTACCATGGGCTACATGACCTTTTAAATATGATTGGTCATTAGTATGTACTTTTGTTTTTATTTAACTGAGTAATTGTCATGATCTTTATTTTCTTATTGTTAACCATGTTAGTTGTAAAGCGGTTGTAAATAAACTACGAAATGAAGAAATCATCTCGCAAAATTTGTCTTCTTAATGCCTTATCCATAATTATACATGAATATGTTTATATACCTAAAATATTCTAGATTAGTAGTCAATAACAATATTAATAGGCTTTCGAAAAATTGACTTCTGAAGACTACCGTCTTCTAGGCGTTGCATGGCAATGTCAAGGAAGCGGAACTTTCCGTCACTTTCATGTTCCATAGTAAACTCAGTATTGGTGTGTGCATCATTGAATAATCTGAATAGGTTGGTAGGAAGCATGAGTTTCATTGTTGCACACTACACAAATGTGTCATCAGCATATCGACAGTAGGTAGGAAGTCTTTTCGTCGACTGCATGCTTCAACTTTGTTCTTTCAAGGTTGTACATGAATATATCTACACCGTCTATTTGTCGGTAAAGAGTGTTGTCAAATTAGAATTATACATCCAGTTAGTACACATTAGCAGTAGGCGTTTGAATTCCGACTCTGGGAGTGGGAGAAGATTAAACTGCTGACAAATGATCTCAATAGTTTCGTTGATTGGAATTATTGTATGAACAAGGAGGTTGCATCAAATGACACCATGAACGTATTCAAAAAACGTTCATGTGGTTCACACTTTCAGAGAAATGAAATGAGTCTTTCATAGTGTGCACGGCTAGCCGTTGACGAATAGGTTCCAACTTCTCCGCAAACGAACGTGCTACCTTATTGTTGGCGCGAGTTGATCATCGAAAGTATAGGTCTCTAGGGGATTTGTTTTTTGTGCATCTTCGGAAGGCCATACATGTGTGGCAAGGGGAATAAATGTATGAAACAATATTAGTGTTTTTTAAATAATATCGATTTGTTAAGTAAGATCACAATGGAATTACAGTTCATTAAAGATGCTTATATAATAATAATAATAATAATAATAATAAAGAAGATATAATAGCAAATAGAATGTCAACTAAAATTAAGGAAATTTCTGCAAAAAATTCAGGATCATTAGAACTTTGATGGCCAAGGTAAGGACAATGTCTGAATTAGCTTCTTTTGGACGCATAAATTCGGCTTCTTAATGTGGGTCCCAACAGCCTCAGCAATATTTAGTAGTCGAACTCTTAAGACGAAATTGAGATTTGTTAGTATGCGGTAGATGACTTCGAAAGCCTCCTCGTTAACATCAATCTTGTGTTCTGTATCCACAAGATGAGATAGAACAGCGCTTTACGAATAGATTTTGTTTGTCCTTTACCTAACCAACCACTGTGCAGGATGATGTTTGGAAATTCGACGACGCATACCAACAAATCTCAATTTCGCCTTAAGCATTCGTCTACTAAATATTGCTGAGGCTGGCTGTTGGGATCCATATTAAGAAGCCTAATTTATGCATCCAAAAGAAGCTAGTTCAGACATTATCCTTACATTGACCATCTAGGTTTGAATGATCCTCAATTTTTGTGGAGATTCCCCTAATTTTAGTTGACATTCTATTTGCTATTATATTTTTATCATTGTTATTATAATTTAAGCATCTTAAGTGAACGGTAATTCCATTGATCTTACTTAACAAACCGACATTATTTTAAAAAAACACTAGTATTGTTATTGACTACTATTCTAGAATATTCTATGTATATAATCATATGTGCGTCGGTGGCATAGTGGTTAGGACGCTCGCTGACCATGCACATGGTCCGGGGTTCGATCCCCAGCCGACGAACTCCTTTACCTCTCTAAGCCAGAAATAATGCTGGTGAAGAGGAAAGGTTGGACATGAGGCTAGCAACCCCATCCTGTAAAATAAACACTGCTACAGAAACTTCAAGCCACTAGCTTGAAGCCCTATGTTCCACTGGGGAACGTGAAGGAAAAAAATATAATCATATGTATATATAATTGTAGAGGCAGAAGAGGAAATTATCGAAAAGCATATTCCTTCCTCAATTATTTTGTGTTTTACGGATGTCTGAATGAATATTTTCACTATATTATTATTTTTATTATTCCTGTTGTCATGTATATTTTTTTTAGTTTGGGTATCTGAAGTTATGCTCCAGCAGACACAAGTTAAAACTGTTATCGACTATTATAACCGATGGATGAAGGTTTGTACACATCAACCTATTGGAGACGAATGTTTTTTCTTTCTGTTTCATTACTTTAGAAATGGCCTAATGTTCAAGAATTGGCATCCGCCTCCTTAGATGTATGTTTGAGTAATACTGTTTAGCTGATTAGATGATGAACACAGGACGTTAATTCTGTTTGGTCTGGTCTGGGTTACTATTCCAGAGCTCGTCTATTACATGAAGGTGCAAAAAAGGTTTGATAATTTTTAAATCGATTCATCACACACATATATATATGTGTAGATTGTCAATGAATGTAATGGGAATCTACCGCATACAGCAGAGGCATTGAAGTCTACACTACCGGGTGTTGGAAGGTATACAGCTGGAGCTATATCAAGCATCGCATTCAATCAGGTATATATATATATTTCTTTTACATGTTTAGACATAAATATTAATAAGAAGGTTTCAATTTATTGATTTTTGTTAGATAGTTAGCTCTGCAAAGTTTTGCCCCCCCCCCCACCTTAGATACATTCGTATCAGTTATAATGATAATAATAATTTGCTTTATTGCAAAACAGTACTTGTGATACAGAATGGAATTCTCAGCATTTTTACTACAGTATTGCATCCAGTTTGTGTACATTAACAATAAATAAAATTCTACATAGATTAAGGGTAATCTCAGTTAGTTTTGACAACAACATATTGGCATACCGGTAGCAAAGATGAGATCCAGTTGTTCTACTGACTATTTAATAAGTTATAAGTTTCACGTCTAATGCTTTCTTTATCGCACAGAACACGAGCCAAGTAGGGTATGGTTGAGTGTTTGTACTTGCTAGTGCGAGCATACAGTTTTCTCTATAGGCTTCTGGTTTCGCCTGATGAGATACAAGAGGAGAGTTGTGAATGAAGAGGGTGGTGTGAGTTAGGTGAAATGGATTTAGCCCATTTTTCACATCAGTCCAAGTGCCTGTCAACGAAAAAATTAACAAGCTGGTTAAGTAGCACGTTGCTTACCCTGCTGACAACCTTTAACATCCTGCGTAATAAGGTATAGTCTTTCTTCAGTAGCCCTGGAAAACTAAGGGGGGACAATACAGAATAATAGGCAGGATGCAAGAGTTAACGAATTGTAGGAGTAAATGTTGGGTTACACCAGAATGTCTTAGCTTCTTGATGTAGAAGGTAAGACGGAATATTTTCCTAGAAATCATCAAGCTATGAGACAACCAGGAGAGATCAGCAGATAGAATGGAATGATTGTTAACGAAATCTCAGCATGAATGATGCAAAATGTTTGGTGTGACATTTGTCAACATATGTCATCTTTAGCGTATACGTGATATCCGGCTATCAGTCAAAGGGTGTGTATGTATTGCGCAGTAATTAGCTCTGTCCTCTTTTATAGTTGTAAGATGTGGTCATTGAAAGTAGAAGCAATGGAAAGGCTAGTTGTCTTTGACTACAGGTGTTTGCGTTCTGTCTCCGATGTTAAATGGTGTAATGTGGTGAGCAATAATGAAGTAAGGCTTATAGTGCTAGATAAGGAAGAGAAGTGAATTGATGAGTTCGTGAAACGACACGCGTTGTGCATGCCGAGCCATTGCATTCGTCGAAAAACAATGCGACCTGATAAGGGATTGATTTGCAGAGGGGTTAGAGATGATCAAGGTAAACTCTGATATCCATCCATGAGGACTTTGACATTTGGTTTGACTGACTGGTTTCGACATGGAACTATTTTGCACCGATGTGCGGCAATTCGAGTCGCCAAACTTCGTCTAACACACAAAGCAAGAGAAGAAAGTAAAAAAGAAATGCGAAACAGAGACAATAAAGAGAGATACGAGGCGAAAAATAGTTACATCGAAGAACAATGTAGCTTTATTGGAAATTATAGATCACAAGGAGTGGATGCATCTGCGCCGGCCATCACTGAGAATGATTTTGAGCCATATCACCGATTGTCTCCAGTCTTCATTAGTTTTTACCGTCTCGGGGTGAGCAGTATTGAGGTTAGGCATTGGTTGAGTGCTAGATAAGGAGGGGAAAATCAATAGACGAGGCTGTGAAGCTACATCGACTGAGATGGTTAAGACACGTGTTACGTGCCTAGCCATCGCCTTCCTCGACAATGGGAAATGTTAGCTGACAGGATGGATCAGGTTGGAAGAGAGCTAGTGGTAGTCAAACCAAAACATGGCTTTATCAGACAATGCAATCCCTAACACTTAGTTTAAGCCAGCCAGTCACGTAGGGAAGTGTTGACTGGTTGGGGTCCTCGAGACGGTAAAAACTAATGAAGACTGGAGACAATCGGTGATATGGCTCAAAATCGTTCTCAATGGCTGGCTGGCGTAGATGCATCCACTCCTTGTGACTTATAATATCCATTAAAACTATATGGTTTTTTGATATAACTATTCTTTTTGCCTCATATCTCTGTCTACTGTCTCTGTTTTGCATTCCTTTTTACTTTCTTCTCTTGCTTTGTGTGCTACATGGAGGGAGTGTGGCGACTCGAACTGCTGCACATCGGTGCAAAGTGGTTCTATGTTGAAACCAGTCAGTCGGTTAGAGTATATCTGTAGTCTTGTTAAGTTATACCATCGCTTAACTCTAATATGTGGTAAACTTTTATTGAATGCGTGCTGATGAAGAGTCCCAAACCAGGACAAAACAACTGTCCAAATCTCCTTGGTTTGTAATGTCATAATCTCACTTGATATTACCTCATTCTCTGCACACCTATGCTACCCATAAGTGACTCACTATGGAATGAAGTTTCTGCAGTTCTAATGAGAAGTTATGACTGGTAGTATTCATCAAATTGAGTGTGTAGATAGATACTCGCCTTCGACACTTACTGGTAGTAACGTTATCTTTCGTGAATTCACAGAACGCAGAATTCGTGAGTCCATTGACTTCTAACCCAATGGCTGAATGGTGATATACTCACTTGCGGTTTAGTCCTCGTTGGAGTCATGGATGCTCAATGTTGATGAGTTTCACACTAGGACGAAACTGTACAATCCTTCCTGGTTCTCAGTAGTTCTCTAACCGATATCATTGCGTGATGTAACTTGATATTACTAATACTGGTTGTCATTAAAAAATAATTTATTTTCATCTATTTTCTCATTATTATTATTATTATGATTACTATTATTACTATTATTATTATTATTATTATTATTATTATTATTATTATTATAGTGTACTGCTGCTTTAGATGGCAACGTAATTCGTGTGTTAACTCGTCTACGTGAAATCGGTTCACCTGTCCAATTGCCTACAACAATAGAATATCTATGGAATTTAGCTAACCAGTTAGTTGATCCTAACAGACCAGGAGATTTTAATCAAGCTCTAATGGAATTAGGCGCCGTGTGTTGTACACCAAAACAACCAAATTGTTCTAAATGTCCAATTAATGAAGTTGGCTTATGCGGTTCATTTAAACGAACAACAGGAGTAAGTTATATATGTACATATATATACTAATTTTTCCTGTTTAACCTCCTTATTTCCAATGAATATGCTTAGTGGTATATACTACTGATTTGATATGAGTAGTAGTTGGGAGTCACTCCCATCGACCAGTAGTACTTACTGGCCAAATTGATATTCTCTATAGTTAGTTTGTTTTTACGAGAGAACCGACCACTGAAAACCAGTTTTGGAGTGCTGGACAGCCAGCTTTTTCATCCTAGTTTGGGAATCATCGGTGGTACGCACCCACCTCAATGTGATTCGAACCCAGGACCTTCCGGTTACAAGGCAATAAATTTTGTTCGAAACGTCATCCAGTAAATAATACTGTTTCACTGTGTGATATACCTAATAAACAAACTAATATGGAATTTCTAGACTATCTAATTCATATGAAATTAAAAGGAAACTAAATAACAATCAATTAGAGAATAATGAAAAAATGGTTAGTTTTGATATAACCAGTCTTAATAATAATAATAATAATAATATACTTTATTCCAAAAACAGTACTTGTGATACAGAATGGAATTTTCAGCATTCATCACAATATTGCATCTAATTTCCTCAAGTTATAAATAAAATTAATCACACAGAAGATTTTTCTACATTTACATTAGGATTAATATAAAACGATTAGTTCCCTTTATGAATTTAGATAAAGCAATAAGAAGACGTAATTTGTCTGAATCGTGTAATGTATTTGCGCAACACATTTCGAACAATCTGATCCAACACACACGGGCTTGTCATAGGAATAAATATGAAGTTAATAAAGAGGTAAGAGGTGAGAAAATAGACAATTAGATCAAGTTTAAAGGACATATTCAAGGTCAGAGTAACAATGAAGACCACTAAACCAAATAACAGAGGTAATAGTACATCTACCCCGCTTGGTATCAAAACAAAATTTACCAAGGAAGGTTTAATGTGATGACGAATTGTTTTTGAACGCATAAAGGTGGCTTAAACTTTCTAATTGCTAGGGCTCCCACAAACTTTAGCATACGCCCCAAACACATTTTATGGATGGATAGGTTTAAAAGATTTGTAAACATCAATTTTATGTCCTGTCTCTATAATATGTTTCGCAATAGAAAAGCTAGGTCTCCTGTTCTCACCATTAATGGGTTCTGAAGATTCCATTTGTCTCTGGAGCCATTTAGGGATATGCTCTGAAACCAGCTCTTACTTGCAGAGATCGACGAGTCTTCCCTATGTATGTGTGTCCACACGTACATTCAAATTGGTATATACAGTGGGATGGATATATTGGCTTCACATTCTCAATTATTATGATATTAGCTGCATCACGGATTGATATCAGTTGGGGTCGCGCTAAATGCGTCACGTATTGGTAGAAGTTAGAATTCATGGGCTGGCCACTGAATCGGGTCCCAGTGGCTGAATGGTATACGAGTCGGCTTGCCTTGTAACCGAAAGTTCCTGGGTTCGAACTCCAGTGGTGGGTACGTACTGCCGATGATTCCCAAACTAGGATGAAACAGCTGTCCAGTACTCTAATACTGGTTTTTAATGGTTTTGTAACTGATATCAATCCGTGTTCACCTCGTAAAAATAAAACTAACCCTTACAAACCAAACTATAGATAAAAAAGTACTACTATTATAATTTTGTGTATTCACAGCTATGATTCAATTCTCTCACAGTGGGATGTGACATCATTTATCACATATTTTAAGGACTTATACAGATATATAGGCTTCAGGTGTTCGGTTACCCTTATCTTTAATGCGCGAAAAGTCTTTTTAATTCCAGAGATCAGTCTTTGTCAAAGTATCAAGCGGCTATGATAAATACATCCCTTTTTGCAACAAATTGAAGAGCAGGTCTTATTTCTCTGACTGTTATAATATCCGATTATGGTGAGGATCGAAAACTTATCAAACACCAACAGTGTTGGGTGAAAAAAGCGATCGACATGGAAAAGGCATCGGCGACAGACAACACCAACACAGCTATTTAGGCTTATCAAGGAAGCAGGTAATGATAGGGAAAGTGATAAATGAGACAATCTCCAATAAAATCGGTGCCTTATATATCTGACAGGATAGATGACTGAAACGTACTAACTGGATGCAATATTGTAGTAAAATGCTGAGAATTCCATTCTGTATCACATGTACTGTTTTGGAATAAAGCAAATTATTATTATTATTATTAACGTTGGAAGGAACATTCTGAGGAGGAATTGAGATTAAAAATATGACTAAATTTTTGATGATAAACTATTGACAGAGTACCGTTTAATGCTTTTTAAAGTGATTTTCCCTGTTTTCGCCTTTTATATTCATTTATAGACTTTGAGAAATAAAAAGTTATCAAAAGAAATTGATGTGGAAAATTGTCATCTTTGTATTGATCCGGGTGTTTATCAAAAAAGGTATAGTTTGGCGTTTCTGTCTTTTTCCCGCCTTACTTCTTCTTGGTTCTCATCCTCTCTCTGCCTCACTTGCTGTCGATATTGGTATCGTGGGGACTGTAATAAAAACGAAGAGCTGTCTGCAAACCAACATTGTAGACAACAGTTTACGTCAATATCCACGTCCCGAATCGGGGTCATGAGAAAAAACAATGGCAAAGCTTAACCACGAGGAACTCACCAACCAGTCACAGTAGACTTAACGTGTGCAAATACGATTCGCAGATATATGGCTTAACTTTCTAAGAAACGCTTGCATACAGTACAGAACAATCTTGAGCAAGGAAGCAACCAATGAGAAGACGTCGCTTCTCTGCTAGCTATAACGTACATAAAAATCTATAAATACCTCTTGATTTTTTTAATAAACGATGTGTTGCCTGGCTCTTGTCTTCTGTTGTTACACTATGACCTTACTTGGTCATCCTATATGTTATCTATCTCCAAGAAAATCTTCCGTCTAAGCTACTACATTAAGAAGCTAAAACTATCTGGAATCACTCAACCTCTGCTTTTACAGTTTGATAACTTGCATATCCTAACTATTTTACTTTATTGCTCCCTTCACTTAGGCTTTCCTGGGCTATCCAAAAAGGACTATGTTATTTTCAGAAGGGTATTAAAGGTTGTCAGTAGGGAAAGTGGTGTGCAACTTAGGTAGCTTACAACTAGTTGCGTTCTTTGAGGAGCTGGTTTGTTTATTTGCAGAGATTTCATCGTCCTTCTGGAAAACATCCCCCTTCAGCTCAAGTTTTAAGCATAAAATAAACTGATTTAAATTCTCCACGACTGATGATAGAGTTGTGTCTCCTGGCAACCATCGTCGTGATGGGTAGTCGATTAACATATGTATTGATCATTTTTATTGACTTGGTTTTTGAGCTTCCTCGTCACATGATTTATTTTTTATTAGTTGGTAGATTTTGTCTATATTATCATGTTTGTTAACCGCTGATTCGCGTGAGTACCAGGCTTCTAGGAATTCTCTGGCTGCATTTTTGGTGTTTCCTCTATTTAAAATTTCGACATTATCCCGATCATCAAATTGGTGTCCATAATTATCTACATGCATTGATATGAAACAGGAATATATATCATGTTCTTTTACAGTTTGTGTTCTTGGCTTTGGATTCGAAGGGGACGCCCACTTTGACTGATGTAATGTCGTTGCCTTTCATATAATTTATTTCGTAAATGGTATTAATTTCATCTTCTTTTCCTGTTGGATGTTTCGTTTGCACAGTATCGAATGAAGTGATTGTGCTGGCTGGCTTGTGTTCTACATCTATTTCAAATGGTCTTAATATTCTATCTGTTATTTCAGACATATTTTTATATATGGTAGGATGGATTTTCCTGTAGTCTTTGATGATGGTTTCTTGTCGGTGTTTGACTCGATGTCAAACAGTTTCTGATGAAACTGTGGCGGGGGGGGTTATCCATTCTTTTTGAAAATGTTTAGTAGGATATTTTTCTCCCATTCTCTTCAACACAGAAGTAGTGCTACAGTGTGTTTGAACTCTTTTAAACAATGTCCGCACACAGTTTCTTTTGTGGGTTATTGCTACTATAGTTGAGCATTTGGTCTGTGTGCATTGATTTGACGAGAAAGTTCAAAATCCAAGTCAATAAAAAATGATCACTACAGATGTAAATCGACTATACGTGTCACAAAGATGGTTAACCAGGAGCTGCAATTCTATCATCATTCATGGAGGGAGAATTTAAATCAGTTCATTTTATGCTAAAACTTGCACTAAAGGGGGATATTGTCCAGGAGGAGGACAAAAGCTCCGCAATTCAACCAACCAGCTCCTCAGAGAACACAACTAATTGCAAATTATTCACCTGAGCTACCAATCTTCTCTATTCCTTAGGTAGCTTGTCACTACATTAGTTGATAGACATCTAAACTCATACAAGAAATGGTCTAACTCTATATTGTCTTACCCTCAACACCTAATCTATTCTCAACTCTCCCCACCTTGTGTATCTCATCTGAAAAAACCAGAAGTCAATACAAAAGATTTTATACTCGTACTACCAAGTATAGGAACTCAACGATACCACAATTTTGGCCAACCCGTGTTCTATGCAATAGAGACAATGTAAAGCGTGAAACTTATGAATTACTATGCTGCCAACTAAATAATTGACCCTTTTATTATCTCTTATTTGTGATCTATGGGGACAATAACTCAGTTAAATCGACAATCTCTGCCACTAACCTTGTAATTATTATTATTTACAATTCTGTTACATATATATATATATATATGTATATATATACGTGCGTCGGTGGCATAGTGGTTAGGACGCTCGCCGACCATGCACATGGTCCGGGGTTCGATCCCCGGCCGACGAACTCCTTTACCTCGCTAAGCCAGAAATAAAAGCTGGTAAAGAGGAAAGGTTGGGCATGAGGCTAGCAACCCCATCCTGTAAAATAAACACTGCTACAGAAACTTCAACCCATTAGCTTGAAGCCCTATGTTCCACTGGGGAACGTGAAGGAATATATACATATATACATATATATATATATATATATACATGACTCCACTGTCATTACAAATACCAAATAAGAACTGCCACTAACAATCCTGTAATATTATTTTTATAATTGTTTTTAATATTGTACCAAATGCTGAAAATTTCACACTGTAGCACTAGTGTAAAGAAGAAATGATCGGTAAGGCTCTAAGGAATGTTTATTAGGACAAACGCATTGTAGATACATAAATTTGGTATACCATATCTTCAATTTTCAAGAGTTGGTTTGTAAGGATTAGATTTGTTTTGACGACTTGGTAGAAGTTAGAATTCATTTGCTGGTTATTCAATCGGGTCCCAGTGGCTGAATGGTATACGAGCAAGCTTGCCTTGTAACCGGAAGGCCCTGGGTCCGAACCCTGTTGGTGGGTGCGTAATACCGATGAGCCCCAAGTACTAGGATGTAACAGCTGTCCAGTACTCCTTGGCTGCTTTTCAATGGTCGGTTCTCTAACTGATACCAATCCTTGATCAAACTCGTAAAACTTATCTTCAATGCTTTATATGAACATCATTTGCAAATTTGTCGATTATCACCCACCACATTCGATAGCTTGTTGGATGATTCTGCACAGTGTTGTAATGTTCTTCTCACAGTTCTCTTCTGCTTCGATTGCTTTTTCCAGTGCCCCAAAACATATTGTTACTTTTCTGAATTCGTTGGCTAATATACTACTGATGTCTGATTATAAGTAGCACTCATCACACTGGTGTGATGAGAGCTGGCTGCAAACAAGCCGAAATTGTAAACAACAGTTTACGTTCAGACACAAGGACATGAGAGAAGCAATAACAAAGCTTAACCTTGAGGAGCTCACCAACCAATCATAGCAGACTTAACGCGTGCAAATACGATTCGCAGATATATGGCTTAATTTTCTGAGAAACGGTCACAAGCAGTACAAAATAACCATCAAGAAAACAACCAGTCAGAAGACATTACTTCTCCGCTGACAATAAAGAATGATAATGTACATAAAAATCTATAAATATCTGTTGATTTTCTCAAAAAACGATCTGTTGCCTTGCCCTTGTCTTCTGTCGTTATACTAGTACTGTTTTGGAATAGAACAAACTATTATTATTATCATTGGCGAAAAGGATTGGTAGGGAATATCAGAAGACTGTGTTGTATTAGGCGTCATTATTCTTTCTTCTGAACATTTCTGTTTATTGCAACTCCTGCACATTTGTTATTTCTTTACCTTTACGTGACCTTCTTTGGCGTGTGCTAATTTGAACTTCTGTTGTAGATCAATGCAAAGAGATTGCTCATTTATTCCTTTCGCTTAAAAATCACTGAGTAATCAATAATTTTAAATTGAAGACATTTAGTAGCTGATGAAGTTCGAATGTTTTGAAAAATCGCAAATTGGTTAAAAGTTGCAATTCCATTGATTAACAAAATCGAATCCCTACGTCTAAATCGTTTACAAACAGCTTACCTGGTCACCAAAAAGGTCCTTGGTTCGAAGTCTTGTGGTGGGTGCGTACTGCTTACTGAAGAGTCGGAAACTAGGCGGACGAAGCAACCTGTCCAGTATTCCCCAGGTTTCCCCGATGGTTCTATAACTGCTGTCACCTCATGATGAATCCCATAGTCATTATTATTATTTTTAATATAATCCAGCTA